CCTCCCAATGCGTCACAGCCTCGATCTTGGCCAGGTCGACCAAGATTCCTTTTTGGTTGACGATGTGCCCCAGAAATTGCACCTCGCGCAACCAAAAATCACATTTGGAGAATTTGGAATAAAGTCTCTCCCTCCTCAGGGTCTCCAACACCTCTTGCAAATGCTACTCGTGTTGCTCCTTGGTCTTAGAGTAGACTAGGGTATCATCAATGAAAACAATCACAGACCGATCCAACATCGGCCTGCAGACCCGGTTCATGAGATCCATGAACGCTGATGGTGCATTGGTGGGCCCGAAAGGCATCACCACAAACTCGTAATAACCATAACGAGTCTTGAAGGTTGTCTTCTGCACATCCTCATCTTTGACTCTCATCTGGTCGTACCCTGACCGCAAATCAATCTTGGAAAACTAAGATGCACCTTGAATCTGGTCAAACAAATCGTCAATCCTCGGGAGTGGGTAACGGTTCTTCACCATTAGCTTGTTCAAATCTCGATAGTCAATGCACATACTGTGCGAACCTTCCTTCTTCTTCACAAATAGGATCGGTGCTCCCTACGGAGAACTACTCGGAAGAATAAAACCATTGTCTAGCAGCTCCTGCAGCTACGTGAACAACTCCTACATATCAGGTGGTGCCAGGCGATATGATGCCTTGGCTATCGGAGCCGCACCCGGTACCAAATAAATCCGAAACTCGACCTGCCTCTCGGGAGGCACTCCGGGCAACTCCTCGGGAAAGACAACAGGAAAATCCCGCACAATGGGTACCCTGCTCAACTCTGTCTTTCCTTCAATCTGCGTGTCATAAACATAAGCTAAGAACCCAGAACAACCCTGCTGCAGATATCTCCTGGCCCTCGCAGCTGAACAGAGAGTTGGCTTATGCGAAGATCTCTCGCCAGTAATAACCAGTTCTCCCCCACTTGGGGTTCGAACTCTCACCAGCTACCGCTCGCAAGCAATCACAGCCCCATTGGGGACCAACAAATCCATCCCGATGATAACCTTTGATCCTCTCAAGAGAATCAGTACCAAATCAATAGAGAACCTCTCACTAAACATGTTCAGGACACACCCACGGAAAACCCTCGAAGAACTCACGGTATGTTTATCCGTAATCTCCACCTCTAGAGGGGAATCCAAAGTCCCCGGAGTGTCTCAAAACTTCTTGTTGAGCGCAAGAGATACGAAGGATCGGGTTGCCCTCGAATCGAACAGAACATGAGCAGATAGACCGTTGACAAAAAAGGTCCCTATACAAGATCATAATAAACATAAGCAGAAACAAGGAAAGCAATAAAAGATAGGGTTAGAACACATACTAGTAACTACATCCGACGTTGCATGAGCCTCATCGATGGTCAGCTGAAAAGCCCTGCTCTTCACCACAGGAGCCTCCATCTTACCCTGGCGGCCATCAGTAATCCTCAAGGTGGCTGGCACAGGCACCACCACTGCTCCCCCAGACAATATCAGACAATCGGCCTTTTTAGGGACAATCTGATTGAAATGAAAGAAAACCAAAGCCCTCTTGGGGCAATCCCTGCTCTCGTGACCCGACTGGCCACAGCTGAAACATCATGAACCTACTGGCCAACAAGCGTCACTATGCGGCTTGCCGCACTTGGCGCAAAGGCCCTGGCCCTGCTGGCCTTTGGCGTGGGTATCAGAGGTCTTGGGTCTCTTAGCTTGACCCACGAATGTGTGAACCTACTCCGACTTCCGCTTCGTCCAGAGCTCCAACTCAATCTCCCGCTCGCGTGCCTTCTCGATCATATAATTCAGGGTCTTACACCCCGAGAAGATCACAAACTCCTGAATATCATCCCTCAGCATATCATGATACCTCGTGTTCCTCATCTCCTCATCCGCAGCGTATTGCAGGACCAATAATGATCTCTCCCTGAATTTGGCGGTAATCTCTGCCACGGTCTCTGTAGTATGGTGAAGGTCCTGAAACTCCCTCGTCAGCTGCTGCACCTCGATAGCTGGTGCAAACTCCCTATGAAACCTCTGAACAAAGTCCTCCCATGTCATCACAGCCATTGCGTCCGTCCCTACCGCTCGGGTAACCTCCTCCCACCATTCCTGCGCTTTATCCCTCAGCAAACAAGACGCGAATCCCACTTTTGCCCCCTCGGGGAAAAAGCTCGTATGCTGAGCATTCTCCATGTCAGTGATCCAACGACGACTAGCGATGGGGTCCTTAACCCCAAAAAACTCATGAGCTCCACACACCTTGGACTTCCGAAATGAGGGAGTTTGCACCCCCAATCTGCCCTGCAACAATATCGGCTCGAAAAGACCTGAGCCGCTCCTCCATGAGCTCCAAAATCCCCTCCTTGATGGTACCAAATATCACGGGGGTAGCATCAAGAATTCCCCGAGTAAAATCGGCTGTAATAAGTGTTGGATTAGGTGTCTAAGCCCATAACTATAATTGGTATGTACTTGAATTGACAGCAGCACAGTCCTTTTGGGTTGCCCTCAACCTAGCAACTGGACAAGGAAATTATGAAAGGAGAGATATTAATTTATAAGATTAATAAATTAATATATATATAAATGATTTATTAATATGTTAATGGATTAACATATTAATTAGAAATCATTATGTTTAATTAATTGTTAGCCAGAAATTAATCAGAATTGATTTTGGGGTTAAAAGAATTAATTATAAGGTACAGGGACTAGTTTGCAATTATCTAATAGTTGAGTGGAAGGCTCTAGAACCCCCTTGGAAGAGGGTGGACGAAATCTTTAGGGGAAACCCTAATAATTTCGTCCATAGGGTCTTGGATAAGGCCCTTGGGTTTGCTTAGGCCCTAAGCAAAGGATAACTAGGGTTTCCCTTAAACCCTAGATCCCTCAGCTATATAAGGAGCCTCCTGGTTCATGTTTTTAGGCACTCTTTCTTTTGAAGAAACCCTAAGGCCGAGATTTTGCATAATTCCTCTCCCCTCTCTCTTCTACTTTCCTTCTTGCTAGTTTGGGTGTGATTCCATTAGAGGCATTACACTTGTGGTGCTAAAGCTTCCAAGAAGATCAAGATCAAGATCAAGGGAATATCAATTGTTTGCTATAACAATTGAAAGGTATGTAAACCCTAAACCCTAGTTTGTTAATTTCGAGATTAGCCTCTCTCCTCTAGGGTTCTTGTTTTGCAATTCAAAGTTGTATGTTCAATAGTTAAAACATAGATCCAAAGTAGGTTGCATGTGAACTTAGGAATTGTTTTCTAGTTTATTTGTTGTACCTAAAACCCATCAGTGGTATCAGAGCCATTGTTGTTTTAAATTGAATTGCTACAATTGTTGAATTGCAAATTAGGGTTTATAGCTATTAAACCCTAAAGGCCAATCTTTTGATTTCTAGGGTTTTGGATCAAAGGGTTTTTTCGAAAACCCTAGCCTCCAAAGAACCCTAATCGAAATTAGGGTTAGGGTTTTGAAAACCCTAGCCTCCTCCCTTGTAAATTTCGAAATTTGCTTAGAAGTTTTAGGGTTTCTTGTTTTTGGATAATTGTTACTTAATTAGATTAATTGGATAATTATCCTTACCCTATTTTTCGAAATTAGAGGGATAAGGATTAGGATTAAATTAATTGATTAGATAATCCTTACAAGATTTAATAATTTGATTAATAGTTAATTAAAAGATAAATATTAAATCTAGTTAATTGGTTTATTTAAATTTAAATTTAATAGCTTAAATTTCGAAATTTATAAACCCTTGAAGTTTTAAAATGTTTTAAAACACACCTTATATATATATTATAATTAAAAGTTTAATATTATATATGTATAAGAACATGGTCAGTCAAATCGCTAGTATGCCTCATTCACGAAGCTAATCTATAAGGGGGGTATAAGGAAACTGCCTATAAAATGGTAGTTGAATGGGTGTCCACTCTCACCCACCGCTTCCTTGATTAGTGGAGGGTCGTTAGCAGAACGGATTTGATAGGACAACTACTTCTCATTAAAAGTATAATGATATTAAAGAAAGTACTAGAACATTATTTTCAAAATCCCAACTCTAGTTACTTTAGGAAAAATGTGAAAAGTATGCTAATCCATGAAATTGCACATTATGCTTTATTGGTCGTTAGTGGAGCGTGTGTGGTTAACCAGCACACTAAAAGGCACTAATAAAGAGTAGTAATGGGTATCTCATAATTGTCATTTTGATGGAGCGTGTGTGGTTTACCAGCACATCAATAGTTAATGATAAAGACAATGAGGTTACCAAGCACATTTGCATGGTTATTCACATCTTGTTTGTGATCCTCGGCATCCCAGTCACAAATAGAAGAGCATAATCTGAGATTAAAACATGCCATTGAATAGTTTCAATGTATCTCAAAAGAATTAGGAATTTCACTTCGTTTGTTTCGTCTAATGGTGGAATTGGTGAATCGTCATTCACCTACCTTTATGAAATTTGCACTTGGATCTCGGCATCCCATTTCTAAGTTGTGAATCTTCATAGTTGGATCCTAACCTTGATATTATATCTTTGGGTTATTCTATTAAGGTATCTTGAAATCTAACTAAAACTTTCTTTCTTTTAGATGTCTACTCCTGGAAACACTTCTGCTTCATCCTCCTCCAACCAGAACTTCTCCTTGCTCAATATATGCTCCAAAGTCGTTATGGATGGCTCAAACTATAACGATTGGATGCGCAACATCAAGATGGCTCTTCGTTTCGAGAACAAAGAATATGTTCTTGAAAAGGAGCTCAAAGAGCTTGATGAGAATGAAGCTACTCCTGAAGATCTTGCTGCCTACAAGAAACATTACGATGATGCTACCAAAGTGGCATGCATCATGGTGGCAACTATGTCCCCAGAACTGCAGAGGTACTATGAGGACTACTGGCCTTTCGAGATGAACAAGGACCTTATGGAAAAGTACCATAAGCGAGCTCGTCAAGAAAAGTTCGAAGTAGTCAAGTCACTCATGGCTTGCAAGATGAAAAATGGGGAGTCGGTTGTGTCACATGTGCAAAGAATGCAACGCTACATAGAGCGTTTGGTCAAGCTCAATATTCACTTTGATGAGGAATTGGCCATTGACATGGTCTTGAACTCACTTCCTGAATGTTATGGTCAGTTTATTCTAACTTACCATTTGAACAATACTGAGCAGACCTTGGCCCAATTGCACAACTTGTTGCAGACAGCTGAGGCAGGGATGAAGGGTAAAAGTATACCCTCCACACCTGCTAGTGCCCCTGTTTTGGCTATTGGACAGGGAAAGGGGAAAAAGAGGAAAGGTCCTCCCAAGCAAAACTGGAAGAGCAAGGCTCAAGCTGGGTCATCTAGTAATGGCCCAAAGGCTAAGCCCAATGGTTCCACTCCCCATGTTTCTGATCCAAAAGAGGCAGTTTGCTTTTACTGCAACCAAAAAGGGCATTGGAAGAGATCTTGCCCACAATATCTGCAAGATATCAAGGATGGCAAAGTGAAGCCATCTTCGGCAGGTATTTACACTATTTCTGCTAATAACTCATTATCTTCTCGTTCATGGGTCCTTGATACAGGATGTGGTTTTCATATCTGTTCTGATTTGCAGGGTCTAAAGGAAAGTGAGGAGATAGAGCGAGGAAGGATAAACCTGATCATGGGAAACAGAAAGTCTTCACCAGTAACCAAGATCGGAGTTTATCAGCTTCTGCTTAGTAATGATGTTAGATTAGATTTAATAAATTGTTGCTATTCGTCTGAGATGACGAGAAACATTATTTCATTTCATGCATTGTTCAGACAAGGTTTTACATATTCTTTTAATGATTTGAATGGTTCAATTTCTGTTTATAAGAATGGTGTTTTTATGTTTGAAGCTTTGCCTTGTAATGGTGTGTATGAAACAGTGACTTGTGTTGATAGCTTAGGAAATAGTGTACTTAATATTGACTTGTCTAATAGTGTAGACAAGGCATGCTTGTGGCATTGTCGTCTTGGACACATTAACAAGAAACGCATAGCCCAACTCCAAAAGGATGGAGTGTTGGAATCATTTGACCTAAAGTCAGATGATATGTGTGAATCTTGTCTTTTGGGAAAGATGACAAAATCACCATTCACAGGGTCTTGTGAAAGAGGTGAAGGTCTGTTGGATCTCATACACACAGATGTGTGTGGGCCCTTCAGATCAACTACAAGAGATGCTAATCGATTCTATGTGACTTTCACTGACGATTATAGCAGATATGGATATATCTACTTGATCAAGCATAAGTCAGAAACTTTTGAAAAGTTCAAAGAGTTTAACATGAAGTCGAAAATCAATTGGGCAGAAAGATAAAGATACTTAGATCCGATAGAGGCGGGGAGTATCTTAGTATCGAGTTTAACGACTATCTGAAAGAATGTGGGATAGTCTCACAATTGACTCCTCCTAGGACACCACAGTTAAATGGTGTAGCTGAGAGGCGCAATCGAACCTTGTTAGACATGGTTCGTTCTATGATGAGTCGGGCTTCGTTTCCATTCACTTCTGGGGGTATGCCTTAGAGACAGCCGCCCACATCCTCAATCTTGTCCCTACAAAGAAGGTTGCCAAAACACCTCACGAAATGTGGACAGGGAAAGTTCCCTCGTTAGCACATATTAAAGTCTGGGGTTGTGAAGCTTTCGTAAGACGAGAGACTCACGACAAGCTAGCAGCTAGAAGTGAGAAATGTGTTTTCATTGGTTACCCAAAGCAGTCTTTTGGATATTTGTTCTACAGGCCTAGTGAGAACGTGGTCTTTGTAGCACGAAGAGGAGTCTTTCTTGAAAGAGAGCTCATATTCAAAGAGGACAGTGGGAGCACTATTGACCTTGAAGAAATTCAAGAGTCAGCCAATGAAGGAACCTTAGATGACACTAGCACTCAACCAGAGGAAACAGTTCCTGTTGAACCAATTGATAACTCATTACCTCTTAGAAGATCCACTAGGGTGAGTGTGCCACCTGAGTTGTATGGTTTTCATATTACTTCAGATGGTGACACATTCATAAGTGACAGAACACTGGTAAACTTAGATGAACCAGTCACTTATAAGGAAGCAATGGCAGGCCCAGAGGCTTCCAAGTGGAAAGAGGCAATGGACAGCGAGATTAAGTCCATGTATGACAACCAAGTTTGGAATTTGGTTGATAGTGCACCAGGTCGCAAGACAGTTGGGTGCAAATGGATCTTCAAGAAGAAGACAGACATGGATGGAAATGTGCACACATTCAAGGCTCGACTGGTTGCAAAAGGTTTCACTCAAACCCCAGGGGTTGACTATGATGAGACCTTCTCGCCAGTGGCTAAGATTAAATCTATTAGGATATTGCTCGCCATAGCTGCCTTTCATGATTATGAAATCTGGCAGATGGATGTCAAAACTGCTTTCCTTAATGGGAAGTTGGCTGAAGATGTTTACATGAGTCAGCCAGAGGGTTTTGTTGATGCAAAGTTCCCCAATAGAGTGTGCAAGCTTGAGAAATCCATTTATGGATTGAAACAAGCATCTCGCAGTTGGAATCTTTGCTTCCATGAGAAAGTCAAAGAGTTTGGTTTCTCTAGAAGTGAAGATGAGTTCTGTGTGTATATCAAGGCTAGTGGGAGTATAGTAACTTTTCTGGTGTTGTATGTCGATGACATATTACTCATTGGTAACGACGTTCCAACCTTGAAAGAAGTTAAGTCTTGGCTTGGAAAGTGTTTTGCCATGAAAGACCTTGGAGAAGCTGCCTATATTCTTGGGATTAGAATATTGAGAGATAGAAAGAAGAGACTAATTGGACTTAGTCAGAGCACATACTTGGATAAGGTACTAAAGAGGTTTAGTATGGAAAATTCCAAGAAGGGAGAGCTACCTATCCAGAGCAATACCAAATTGAGTAAGACTCAATGCCCGAGTACAGATGTTGAAATAGATGACATGAGTCGTGTACCTTATGCTTCCGCTGTCGGATCGATCATGTACGCTATGACATGTACTCGCCCTGATGTGGCATTTGCTTTGAGCATGGTCAGTCGCTATCAGGGAAACCCAGGTAGAGCTCATTGGATAGCAGTTAAGAATATACTCAAGTATTTGCGAAGGACAAAGGACTGGGTCCTTGTGCTTGGTGGCAGTGATACTTTGAGAGTAGATGGTTACAGTGATGCCAGCTTTCAGACGGATAGAGATAACTTCCGTTCTCAGTCGGGCTGGGTATTTTTACTGAATGGAGGAGCAGTTACTTGGAAGAGTTCCAAGCAAAATACGGTGGCTGATTCTACTTGTGAATCAGAGTACATTGCAGCAAGTGAAGCGTCGAAAGAAGCAGCTTGGTTGAGGAACTTCATCGGGGATCTCGGAGTTGTTCCAACCATCCAGGAGCCTATGGAACTGTTCTGCGATAATGAAGGAGCGGTTGCCTTGACAAAGGAACCGAGAGATCATGGTAAGACCAGACATATCGACAGAAAGTACCATTTCATCAGACATAGAGTTGAAGAAGGCCATCTTATAGTAAAGAGGGTGTCATCTGAAGATAACCCAGCAGATCCCCTCACAAAGGGTCTGAGTAGGGCTAAGCATATTCAGCATGCTCGGAGCATAGGACTGAAAGATGATATTAGTTTTAGTAGTTAGATTAGTTTTTGAAACTTGTAACAAAGTAAATGTAATTGACTTTTGGTGATTAAATAATAAAGTATTATTTATAAGTTTGGCTACTACCTTTTGTCAATTGTTTATTATTGTGTTTCATTTTTGCATGTTTTACTTCCTGAATAATGAGATTATTCAAACTCCACAGTCGCTCGTACTCTTGGAAGTAAGTAGTGAATTAAGACTGTCATGAATTGGATTGCAGATTGTCTAAGGATAGACATGGCAATAGAATTGCTGCAATGTTCATGAGTACTCAGAAATTGAGATTTGAGTATTGGATAAACCCTCGCTCAGAGTATCACTTCATGGAATTCATCACGAGTAATACTGAGACGATAATATCTTATAATCTTGAAACGAAGATATATGAGTTGTAATTTACAAAGTCGGTGTGCATTGGTGATACGAAAACGCATCAGTAACTTGGTGTTATAAAACGTATTGTCATGTATAATTTGATGAGTAAAAGATACAAGCATATGAGTCAACGTTTATTCGTTCCTTTTGCCCTAACAGGAAAAGCGATATCTGTGGGCCCCTCGATGATTTGGTGTTGACTTATGTGCTGGGCCCAGCCAGGACTAAATTGATGTGTTCGATTAGAAGTCCTACATCATCACAAATCAGGAATCGGGAAACATAGATTCTGGACAAAGAGATTGATTACATTCCATGTCTTTGTCTGGGGATATCAGCAGAACGAAGGATTATATGATCACTTATCTTAGGACACGTAACTGACTGGGTCAGAGTTCGGCAGCAGCTTTTGGAAGCTACAATTTGCTGGTCAAATTTAGAAGGCATACTAGCAATTATAGTTACAGACTTATCCAAGTGGGAGACTGTTGGATTAGGTGTCTAAGCCCATAACTATAATTGGTATGTACTTGAATTGATAGCAGCACAGTCCTTTTGGGTTGCCCTCAACCTAGCAACTGGACAAGGAAATTATGAAAGGAGAGATATTAATTTATAAGATTAATAAATTAATATATATATAAATGATTTATTAATATGTTAATGGATTAACATATTAATTAGAAATCATTATGTTTAATTAATTGTTAGCCAGAAATTAATCAGAATTGATTTTGGGGTTAAAAGAATTAATTATAAGGTGCAGGGACTAGTTTGCAATTATCTAATAGTTGAGTGGAAGGCTCTAGAACCCCCTTGGAAGAGGGTGGACGAAATCTTTAGGGGAAACCCTAATAATTTCGTCCATAGGGTCTTGGATAAGGCCCTTGGGTTTGCTTAGGCCCTAAGCAAAGGATAACTAGGGTTTCCCTTAAACCCTAGATCCCTCAGCTATATAAGGAGCCTCCTGGTTCATGTTTTGGGCACTCTTTCTTTTGAAGAAACCCTAAGGCCGAGATTTTGCATAATTCCTCTCCCCTCTCTCTTCTACTTTCCTTCTTGCTAGTTTGGGTGTGATTCCATTAGAGGCATTACACTTGTGGTGCTAAAGCTTCCAAGAAGATCAAGATCAAGATCAAGGGAATATCAATTGTTTGCTATAACAATTGAAAGGTATGTAAACCCTAAACCCTAGTTTGTTAATTTCGAGATTAGCCTCTCTCCTCTAGGGTTCTTGTTTTGCAATTCAAAGTTGTATGTTCAATAGTTAAAACATAGATCCAAAGTAGGTTGCATGTGAACTTAGGAATTGTTTTCTAGTTTATTTGTTGTACCTAAAACCCATCAATAAGATCACGCAGCCTCTCATCAATTGGTTCTAAGCTAGAGCCATAACCTGAACCCGATCCAAAGACAGAACCGGTACCTCCCAATCCCAAACGAGTGACCACCATCCTCAATTTGAAACACAAGATATAAACAAGTAGCAAACACTTGAGGGAAACTCGCAACACACAAGTACCCTTAGAATCTACAGATTTGCACTTGTCTTAGGTATAGGTCCTATGCTTCCAGTAGTACGGGCCTGATACTACCTTCCACACCTACCTATACCTTCCACAAGGTCAAATCTGATTCCTCTAAGTTACCACACTACAACCAAGAACGAACCTAAGCTATACAACATACATATCCTAGACTCTTCTAGGAACTCTCAACCATCACCACTAACAGTACCAAGAACCTCAATCAACACCGTTGGTTGCGCTATGCATGCAAGTTGTACACAAAATAGGAT